TTGACTTATTTATATATATACTTACTCACTTACTCAATTACTTACTTACTTACTCAAATACTTACTTACTTACTTACTTAATTACCTACTTACTTACCACATTACTTATAATCTTACTTAAATGATATGCGAACTGAAGTTCATCAGGCTGCATTGTATCTGTCCACTGAATTCCGCGCTTCTGCTCTCTTACTGCCGTCTCTATATTGCAGTCAGCTATCTTGAGGAGTACGGATAGTCAGAGTTAGATATCTCATTTAAATGAGATAATTTAGTGCTGTGTCAAATTCAACCAAAGTTGATTTTGTTCCAGTTGAATACAATATGAAATACTCCGAAGCACTATTATATTTCTACAATTTACTCAGCGCACTCTAATTAATATGAAATAGTTGAATTTATTTTAAGGAGCTCGACATGTCATCTGATTTATCGCGGCAAATATCATTGTCGAAAAATCTTTGATTATTATTGAATGAAACTGAGATTAGTAGTTTATCCAAGTCTTGCAGTAGCTTTGGTCGAATTACCACTGTGATTTACTGTTTTTTATCATCTGCCATGATTGATTATTATAAACAAAAAATCGACAGTGAAATTATCGGTTCAAATAAAATCAAATAATTGAGTCAATCCAGCAGCTGTATTCTTAGTTATTTGAAAAACCATCAAAAACCGCAAAAGTGAATAAGCATTCAGAGGACCAACGACTATGAACCACATATGCTCACAACATTTCGGTCTTCCTTACTGGGTGTGGACAGTGCCAATGAATACTACATGTCCTGTGACAACGTCTGCTTAATGAAGCTCAGTTAAGAAGGCGGATTTGGATGCCTTATTGACATAGTTTTATAAAAGGTGGTCATTTAGTGATGCAGTTTTACAAAAAGTATGCATTTCACTTAATAACGTACAAAAACTGAGTTGTAAATACAAAGTTAGAGTGAGAAATTAACAAGACGAATTCCAGTAAAACCGATACAAAGAACAAATTAATTTTTCCGGGTGATTGAGTTGACGAAAATCCAGAGATACCAATTTCATAATGAATAAATTTTCATCCACCCGAATGATGAATACAGTTTCGACTCGGTGATATTCTCACAAACATAAGTACACTGTTCAGATATTTGTTGTTCGAGTCGTAAGGTGTGAATGTTGTTGCTATCACATTTGATTTGCATCAAAATCAAATCTGACATTCTTTTGTAATCTTGCTTATCAATTTTTGTATTTTTCCAGTTAAACTCTGTCGAAATAAGAACGGTTTTATTGTATAAATCAATGCTTCTGTTTGTTATTTACAGTTGCAGTAAGAGATTTATGTGCTGATAATGAGAAACTGTACAGCGAATTAAGTAATGAAACATCAAGTTGTTGGACACCAGAGGTTCTAAAACGTAGCTAAACTGTATGCGTATACGTATTTGACGAGGATCAAACAGCACTCTGAACGATCAGCATATACTGGGTGGAATGTTCTTCATAAGAAAAGATTCCATGCACTCACTGTTAGCTTTACAGAATTTCATTAGACTTCTTTACCAAATAAATGGTAACTTGTTTTTCAGCATACTCCAGGATCACTTGACGCATTCATCAGTAGTAAATCAAATATAGTAGGTTCAAAAAGCGTGACTGTACTTTGTTATTGTTTTTCGAAACTAGTGAATTACCTTTCATGCATTGTTTGTTTTGAAGTGATCTATTTTTCTGATCTTCGTAAAAGATAACAATTTTTAAAGTAATTTTTGAAAAGGCTAATTAATTTTAAATAAATTTATCTTCAGGGAGAAAAGTAGTTATCAAGTTATGAACAGTTCATTATGTATTCGTCAATACGCTAACATTTCCGATGCATAAACATTTGTCCATCCATTACATTTGCAGTAGAGATTTCAATTATATTCATGCCTTCCGTGGTGCAGCATATTGATTTACGGAACGTCCTATCTACATGCGGTTTGTTTTCCACTTTCGCCACACAAAGGACAGGCAAATTGTTCATCCACATAGAATACCGTTTCCACTTGTTTAGGACTAATGTATGCAGACCAACCTGTGTTTGCAGATAAGCGTGAATGTTAACAGTAACTACTTCGTTATTGATTGATCGATCTCTTTAAGTTCAAACGCTATTCACATGTGGGAGATTATGCGTTACATCAATAACCTATGGCATCAAATCCAACTCAGTCTCTCCTTGTTCACAAGTTGTGCTGAGCAGATAGTTGGTGCTTTCCAACTTCTTCCCTGCCTCATTTTCTTGATTGGATTAGTTGATGCTGTCTGCGTTTCATTTCCTTGTCTCACTTTTTTGTATTATTGATGAAAAGAACGATGCGACACTAGTTGACTGCACCTACACTTACTGCTGTGTATCCGGTAGAATAGTGTGAATCAACTAACTGTGATTTGCGCATTTGCAGATAAAAGTAATCGAGAAGTAAACGATTAGAGTAGGTGGTCTTATCTTGAACAAAGCTGTCTTTGAAATGCATTGATGAGCTACTTTCCACGAACGATTAGTGCGAGCGTTCTTGTTTCAGCATTCATGAATAGTGGATAAGTAGCAGGTAGATACCAACCGTTGAATAGTCAAGATTCTATTCATAGTTATAAAGAATAACTGTTTCTAGAGTATGTAAGAAATTTATTGGAATCAAAGTTTATTCTGTACGTTTTTCATTGACAACAATAGGATGATGAATCAGAAGGAAGCAAGAAGAAACGAATTTTCAAATATTTGCAAAATGTCGGGGCGCATCAGATAAGCGAAACAATGCTATATGGTGCTTTGCAATTGTACACGAAAATTAAAAACGTCAGTCAGATGTAGTTCATTATTTGACAGTGATTCAAATTTCTGTCACAATACAAACAGATCATGATGTTGAATATACGACATAACAGAAACGTTTATTGTCGTGCAGCTGAGTATCACCGAATATCATGACCGGATGTTAAGATAATAATATAGTAAACATGCGATGTAACAATTCGCTGCATTCCATTTCTGAGAAAAAGTACATGAACATTTTTTTTCAAATTCACGGTGACATACGGAATGTTTGCCTCCTGAGTGTGAAACTTTGAATTACTTAATGAAGAGAAAATTAACCACGAGAATATTTCGTCTTCTTTCAAATGATGTTTAAATCCATATGCCTAATCAATAGTAGTCATAACAGAAAATAACATTTGGTCAATGAAATCTGTGTTATGTCACACTATCATACAATGCAGAATACAAAGTGAGATGCATAGGTGGGTGCGGGTACTGTCAGCCGGTTGAGTGATCGGTTTAAACTAATATAACTTGTATCAAAATCTTCAAAGACTTAAAACGACAATCATATGTTTGCAGTTTATCTATCCTCCTTTTTCCGACGTCATCAGATCCTCGTGCTGGCAGATTTATCTCACCCGACGATTAGCAAAACCACTGTACAATTCTTCAAATTTCAATGTATTATGCTAACTCAGCGAGAATATATAATTCACACTGGATACTTCACTTTGATAAAATATGTTAAAATAAAGCAGACACAATATGTGTAAGTCCACTAATTTATTACTAAATAATAAAACAAACTTACAGTCAATATGCGAAGGTCATTGAGACAACTGCACCAAGTTTCACTGTATTAAATACATTGAATCAAATCGATTGTGAGACTTTCTTGGTATCTTATTTATCGAACAATAGAATGTTTACTCAAATTGGAGGTGATACACTGGGCGTTACCATCAATAAAGATTCAATGCTACATAGTTCCCCGTGAAGCACAATTATGAAATCGGGTGAGCAGGTGTTTTTTGTGATAAAGGATTCCTATATGGGTGAGTTATTCAAGATAAGCTGGGTGATGGTGGACATACATGGAAAAGTCGATCTCAGATATGATGTATTTTGTACTCCATGTAAAAATGTGCCTCAAATTATCTACTTTGACTAGATCGACTGGAAGAATATTCTGGATTCTGAACTCTATTATATGCGATATGAGGCGACAAGCGATGTAAGCAATGTCGAAGATCAAGTTTGCATGCGTTTTTCTTGTGGACAGTTCATGGAAGCTTTGAAAGAAAATAGGGGGAGAAAGAAAATCTGCAAAATTTAGTTTTCTGATTACAGAAGTGAGTTATTCAATTAGATCACACGTTGGTATATTTCGGCAACAGTTTTCATAACAGAAATTTAGACTTCTTGACCACTCAAGATTGATGATCTTGCATTCGAATAATGTTAGAGGCGACGGTCGTAGACTCGCAATGACGATGAGCCCTGCACCCGATCGAAACAGCCATCAAATAATTTCAGATTTCTAATGGTGGTCTAACGATGATTGATTAACGACTTCAACGTGTAAAAGCACTGATCTCCGTGACTGTATTTGATGAAGTTAATAATTTGCAAACTCTGATCATGTGAGAAGTGAATGCTGGAAACAATTTGAATTGTAATTGAAAAACATACTGCGGTATTTATTGTATTGTATATTCATTTCCAAGCTGAAATGGTAGATATGTATTTTTAGATTCTACGGCATCAAAAAATATAGACGATCACTATTGTTCATTTTAAGTGTGTTCATTGATCAAAAGCTTGATTTTTCCAATCACTCCCGTGAGAATGTGCACAATCTTCTAGTGATAAGTGTTTTGTATGACATGAGAAGCACTTTGAATATATATAATTCGGACAGTTTTATCTCGCTGATCATCGTAAGTACCACTTTACAACCATTTAATTCCATTTATAAAACTAAAGGATGATGACAGGTTGGACTTTTGAGTTTAGCTATTCACACATACATTTGAATGCATTGGATTCAACTCAATTTTGTGTTGACTCCTGGCAAAAAATCGAATCGCATTCGTTTTACGACCTTACTTTGCAAGTGAGGAAATATTGTGAAATATTGAAATGACTATTGATAATTTATTTCATTGAGGCAGTCTCTTTGATCGGTTTCTCTGAATATGTTGAATAGGTTGGTGAAATGAATAGCGATTTGAAGAAAACATTGAATCAATCATTGTCATCAAAGTCACGGCCCAGTGAAGAAGACAAAAGTAGAACTCTTAAATCGGTTTGTCGAGTTTTGATGAATTATTTGGACAATAATTTGATGCAATTTTTAGGTTGAGACTATTTGATTTTCGTCGGATAACCGAAATACGTTTTATGGCGATGCCGAACGTAAGCGAGGATTATTCAATATATTAACCGCTGTAAAAAATCTACATCAACTACACGGCCATCGTTTCAGCAACCCTGTGGCATTTTAATCTCCATTAATCCTGTGTTTGCCGATCTACATCTTGTGGTTTCGCAGATTATTTGCATATCGGACTCCAATGCAATCAAGCAAACTTCGCTAAGTTCAATAAATGAACAAAGCGTGCTTCACATAATAATATTTGTTGTGTCAGTAGTCGAATATATGCAGATGTCATTCAAACCAGACCAATTACATCGGTTGAAATCAGGTTTATAATAGCACAACATAATATAAGTAACACTCAGATAACTCGATATGTTTTCGTAGATATTAGGTACATTTCATGTTGTCTCAATGTTTTTCATATCAACTACGATTTGAAGCAAATGGCAACTAACATTTTTGATCTTCGTTTTCATTTTCTCAAAACCTCCTTAATTAGAAGATTACATTATGACAACACCAAGTGAAATGGATTGTGGAACTCAGTTTATTACAAGTTTCGAAATTGACGTTTTTCATTTTGTGGGTGGCATTATTTTTCCTTTCGGTCATAGGATTTTTCCTAATGGTAGACAGAAATGTTCAAACTAAACGACAACCTACGAGTCACTTATCAGTGAGATTCTGCGCATTGATTGAAGAAAGTTGATCGTTTGAGAATAGTAGACATTCATGAAGTAGTTATCCTTGGACATTCCATCCTAGAAAATTAGAGTAAACGATTTGATGAAGTATTTTAATAAATTTCAATTTTTTCAATGAATGGAATGGTCAGTATTTTTATCACAAAAATGTTCGAGCTTATTCATTTCAATTACCATGGACGAGGAAGCTACTTAGCTGTAATCCCATTATGGATGAGCGAACTGAGAGAAATATGTACCATCATTATTTGTCATTGAGTCAGAAGTTAATAAAACATTCAATCTAAATTAGTGCATTGAGAAAGAAGATATTGCTGTCAATTTATCACTGCTTTGTTAAATTGATTTTATTTCTAAAATCACATTCTCAGCACTTATTCAGACATCTTATCTACCATAGTTATTCTGAAGTTCATCTTATCAATTTATGAATTCAAAATAAACACTAGCCGACTGGTTCACAATGGCCAACACTGGATCTATCTTCGAAAAGAATAAGTCAGACAACACTCGAGTATATACGAATCAGCAATTCATAATTCACTGACCTGAGCATAAGTCACAATAAAAACGAATTAGTTGTACAGGAAAATTTCGATATGCATGCATAATGAATTCTTTCGTCAGCAATTTTCCCCGTCATTAGGTTGTAGTGTGCGCCATTTATGAAGAGAAAGTGATGGATGTAATGGAAGCATTTATCATTAAAATTATCTGTATCAAAGATTTTTTCACTGTAACTTCATATTTAATTGTATTAAAAACACACATCTTCCGTTCATTGCAGAATTTAGCTTGCTCAACTACGCTGAAGTAGGCTTCTCTGTACACTTCGGCTCGATCTTCGTATTATTTTGATACCACAAGATTTCTACGAAATATATCTGAACTGCGATCGAAACTGATCTTCTGATATCTGACGTGTTGTGGGATTTACCTTGGTCAATCGCAATTCACAATATTTGTTGACTCCGAATAGTTAGTAATGCTGGAAATGAGGAACTTACTGGACATAATAATCCTCGCTAACGTTCGGCATTGCCATAAAACGTATTTCGGTTATCCGACGAAAATCAAATAGTCTCAACCTAAAAATTGCATCAAATTATTGTCCAAATAATTCATCAAAACTCGACAAACCGATTTAAGAGTTCTACTTTTGTCTTCTTCACTGGGCCGTGACTTTGATGACAATGATTGATTCAATGTTTTCTTCAAATCGCTATTCATTTCACCAACCTATTCAACATATTCAGAGAAACCGATCAAAGAGACTGCCTCAATGAAATAAATTATCAATAGTCATTTCAATATTTCACAATATTTCCTCACTTGCAAAGTAAGGTCGTAAAACGAATGCGATTCGATTTTTTGCCAGGAGTCAACACAAAATTGAGTTGAATCCAATGCATTCAAATGTATGTGTGAATAGCTAAACTCAAAAGTCCAACCTGTCATCATCCTTTAGTTTTATAAATGGAATTAAATGGTTGTAAAGTGGTACTTACGATGATCAGCGAGATAAAACTGTCCGAATTATATATATTCAAAGTGCTTCTCATGTCATACAAAACACTTATCACTAGAAGATTGTGCACATTCTCACGGGAGTGATTGGAAAAATCAAGCTTTTGATCAATGAACACACTTAAAATGAACAATAGTGATCGTCTATATTTTTTGATGCCGTAGAATCTAAAAATACATATCTACCATTTCAGCTTGGAAATGAATATACAATACAATAAATACCGCAGTATGTTTTTCAATTACAATTCAAATTGTTTCCAGCATTCACTTCTCACATGATCAGAGTTTGCAAATTATTAACTTCATCAAATACAGTCACGGAGATCAGTGCTTTTACACGTTGAAGTCGTTAATCAATCATCGTTAGACCACCATTAGAAATCTGAAATTATTTGATGGCTGTTTCGATCGGGTGCAGGGCTCATCGTCATTGCGAGTCTACGACCGTCGCCTCTAACATTATTCGAATGCAAGATCATCAATCTTGAGTGGTCAAGAAGTCTAAATTTCTGTTATGAAAACTGTTGCCGAAATATACCAACGTGTGATCTAATTGAATAACTCACTTCTGTAATCAGAAAACTAAATTTTGCAGATTTTCTTTCTCCCCCTATTTTCTTTCAAAGCTTCCATGAACTGTCCACAAGAAAAACGCATGCAAACTTGATCTTCGACATTGCTTACATCGCTTGTCGCCTCATATCGCATATAATAGAGTTCAGAATCCAGAATATTCTTCCAGTCGATCTAGTCAAAGTAGATAATTTGAGGCACATTTTTACATGGAGTACAAAATACATCATATCTGAGATCGACTTTTCCATGTATGTCCACCATCACCCAGCTTATCTTGAATAACTCACCCATATAGGAATCCTTTATCACAAAAAACACCTGCTCACCCGATTTCATAATTGTGCTTCACGGGGAACTATGTAGCATTGAATCTTTATTGATGGTAACGCCCAGTGTATCACCTCCAATTTGAGTAAACATTCTATTGTTCGATAAATAAGATACCAAGAAAGTCTCACAATCGATTTGATTCAATGTATTTAATACAGTGAAACTTGGTGCAGTTGTCTCAATGACCTTCGCATATTGACTGTAAGTTTGTTTTATTATTTAGTAATAAATTAGTGGACTTACACATATTGTGTCTGCTTTATTTTAACATATTTTATCAAAGTGAAGTATCCAGTGTGAATTATATATTCTCGCTTTCTCTCTATCAAACCTCCTCATATTTGAAAAGCTTTTAATACTCATACTTTTAACTCGCTCTGACTTCACCTACACACAATACATTTCCGTATGGAACATCACCATTAATAGCCCATCTTCAATCGGATAGGAATAAGAAGTGAAGTCTATTTGTGTTCATAAATATTTCTATCAGGCAATGTTGTCTCACTTTACTCAAGCATTCAACTGACCTAAAATGTTTGACTGAGGAACTAGCGAATTGTGCTCATGTCATTCTACTGGTTGACAGATTCCAATAGAACACAAACAGGAAGCGTAGAAGGGAATTGTAGAATAATTTAAGCCACCAAATTTTATATCTTCACTGGAAACTAAAGTTTATAATTTTTATAAAGTCAATGATGAGGTTGGTATTCTACGTCGAACGAGGTTCATCATATTTGGAAGCTTAGAAAGTGATCCATCGATACCTTTCAATGATATACAACTGAAAGCATTTATTTATTAGCAGGTTGAGAGGACTACACTTGTCCGGTATTACTATGAATTGTACGAAGACAATGCGACCAAATTATCGTAAGAAATGATTTCGCGGGCTTTTATCATCAGTTTCCGTGAATAAATATTATGTTGTTTGGGTGCTGACTTCTTGAGGTAAGAAGATATCTTTCTATCTATAGATCATCTGTAATTTGAACGAGATGAAATCACTAAAAACTCAAACGACGTGACAGAGTTTTAATCGTTCTAATTATAGACAAGCAAAGCATGCGAATCAGTTTGATCTGTTTAGAATTAGACCGTATACGTAGTTAATTAACTAGTTTCAGGATGTTTGTAAAGGTTACAGAGATGAGGCTGACTCATTGTGGAATCAAGCAGCTCTGCCAAACAACTTTGTACCCATGAGAAATAGAACTGGATTATTCATAGTATTCTAAACAAAATATAACAAAGTATGCTGAGTAAGCATAATACATTGAAATTTGAAGAAGTAACAACTTACTATTGGACAGTTGTTTTGCGAATCGTCGGGTGAGATTATTCTGCCAGCCCGAGGATCTGATGACGTCAGAAAAACGACGATAGATAAACTGCATACATATGATCGTCGTTTTAAGTCTTTGAAGATTTTGATACAAGATATATTAGTTTAAACTGATCACCCAACCAGCTGACAGTACTCGAACTCACCTATGCATCTCAATTTGCATTCTGCATCGTATGATCTTTTGACAGAAATGTGAATCACTGTCAAATAATGAACTACATCTGACTGACGTTTTTAATTTTCGTGTACAATTGCAAAGCACCATATAGCATTGTTTCGCTTATCTGATGCGCCCCGACATTTTGCAAATATTTGAAAATTCGTTTCTTCTTGCTTCCTTCTGATTCATCATCCTATTGTTGTCAATGAAAAACGTACAGAATAAACTTTGATTCCAATAAATTTCTTACATACTCTAGAAACAGTTATTCTTTATAACTATGAATAGAATCTTGACTATTCAACGGTTGGTATCTACCTGCTACTTATCC